GGCGACTTTTACATCAAGCATTTTCCGCAAGATCTTTTGAGTGCCTTTGTGCCTCCGAGCCTCCACCCCCCTATGAACCCCCCCCCCACACACAGACCATTCCACGACCCCCCTCCCCCCTCAAAGACCTCCTACCCCTCTCAGAGACCCTCCACGACCCCCTCCCCCCCACAGACCCCATGACCCCTTCTCCCAGAGACCCTCCACGACCCCAACAACTTCCCCTCCCCCTCAGAGATCCTCCACGACGGCGGAATATGAAATAAAGGCCCTTAAAACACCCTTACATGGGACAGGGTAGGGTGTCTAGTGCCTGTACCGACAGACAATAACTAACCCATGACACAACCCAAACACACTATTAGCTTAGCTAGACGGTCAGCCCGCCCTCTCTTACCTCCTCTTAAATTTCTTCAATTTCCGAACTATAACTTCCTTTCCCCACCTCTAATCTTCTGCTCCCTCCTTTCTCTCTAAAAAAATCCTCCCTCAGAGACCCTCCGTCCCTCCCTCTCAGAGACCCTCCACCCCTCCCCTCAGAGACCCTCCACGATCCCCCTCCCTCTCAGAGAGAGACCCTCCACGATCCCTCCCTCTCAGAGACCTCCACGATCCCTCCCCCTCAGAGACCTCCAGAGACCTCCGACCTCCTCCTAAGACCTCCACGACCTCCCCCCTCAGAGGAGACCCTCCACGATCCCCCTCCCCCTCAAGAGACCCTCCAGTCCCTCCCCCTCAAGACCCTTCCACGACCTCCCCTCAGACCCTCCCTCCCCACTCAGAGACCCTCCACGATCCCTCCCCTCTCAGAGACCTTCCACGGCCCCTCCCCTCTCAGAGACCTTCCACGACCCCTCCCCTCAGAGACCCTCCCGATCCCTCCTCTCCAGAGACCATCCACCCTCCCCTCAGAGACCCCGATCCCTCTCAGAGACCCCAGAGACCTTCCCTCCCCCTCAGAGACCCTCCACGATCCCTCCTCCAGAGACCTCCACGATCCGAGACGGTCCCTCCCCTCTCAGAGACCCCACCCTCAGAGACCCTCACGATCCCTCCCCCTCAGAGACCCTCCACGATCCCTCCCCCTCAGAGACCCTCCACGATCCCTCCCCCTCAGAGACCCTCCACGATCCCTCCCCCTCTCAGAGCCCCTCCACGACTCCCCCTCAGCGTGGCCCGTTTTTCTCCCTCCTATTTTATGAAGGTACAGATGAGTGAGCGGGAGGACGTGCGTGGCTCTGAGAATCAATGTCGATCTCCACTTTTTTGGGGAGATTAGTTTCTTTTATTTGTTCTCGTGTGTGTGTCTGTGTGTTTGAGTTGCTTTGCATTATTTTTTTTTTTTAAATAAAAATAATAATAAATAATTGACGGTTTATTGAAAAAGTTCTGCAGCTCGAAGGCTGAAAATATACATTGGACATAAATGACTTATTACATACATTGGTGGTTTAACAAAAGCCTTCATTAGAGAAAGGTAAAGGAACATACAGTGAACATACAGATTATTGTAGGTGTTGAACAGCAAACACGTAGTGTAGTAACTCCCTCCCAGATGGTGTTAGGAGGGACCTCACGTGGTGTAGTAGTTCCCTCACAGATGGTGTTATGAGGGACCTGACGTGGTGTAGTAATTCCCTCACAGATGGTGTTATGAGGGACTCACGTGGTGTAGTAATTCCCTCACAGATGGTGTTATGAGGGACCTCACGTGACAGATGGTGTTATGAGGGGCCTCACGTGGTGTAGTAATTCCCATAGATGGTGTTATGAGGGACCTCACGTGGTGTAGTAATTCCCTCACAGATGGTGTTATGAGGGGCCTCACGTGGTGTAGTAATTCCCTCACAGATGGTGTTATATGAGTGAGGTGTGGTCCCAGGCCTTCCTATCGTAGACGGATTAACACATCGCTGGTTGTGTTGGGTCTCACGGGCCGTTATCACTGGGTACCTGGGACCTCACTGTGTGAAGGTTAACTTGGGTATGACTGTTACTGTTGAGTTGTTCTCACTGACTTAAGCACTGTTCACCACTGTTCACCTCTGTTTAACACTGGTTCCATTCCTTTCCAAAATGAAATTGTAACTTCTGGCGAGAACTTGTTGATATTCCGGTGGGGAGGAGGGTTCAGGGGAGGGAGTTGGTATGGGCCAACTTAACAGTTGACCTGGCTACTCCGAGAGGAGCGCCAGGTACGTCTTGACCCTTCGGTGGTCAAGGATGTAGTACTTTTTTGTGTGTATTTATGCTTGTCTTCCAAAAATATATAAACTGATGTTGTTCCTCTTAAAGAACGCCCTGTCACGCGCGCACACACACACACACGTCACAAGCGCTTCATACATTCAGATACACATGAGTACACTGGGCGTTATCAGCTGCGAGGAGACGGCCAGGTAAAGCACCCAGGTACAGTTCGGTAATAACTGACGATGGGTGTGTGTGGGGGGGGGGGGAGGAGGTAGGGAGGGAGTATATCTGGCAGTACAACTTAAGAATGGGGAGAGTTACGCTGCCAACACATATCACATAAATTCACTGTAACAATCCCAGTAACTTACTTTGTTTCCGGGTAATAACAGGTCATAGGTCATGGTCAAAAGGAAGAATATATGTATATATTTTGTGGCGTCATACAAGTGGTGCTTCATCAGACAACAAAAATCTGAGTGAGTGACCCCTGACCTTACGCTATTATGTTAGACAGACCAGCTTAGTGTAGTTCCCCTTCCCTAATCTTGCTTCATAAAGAAAATAGGTCGCTAAGTGGCCCGAGGCTTTATAATGATAATGTTTAACTAGATTATAACGGTATAATGTGTTAATAACCTTCAACACTGCAATATTATAACTTTACTCTATGTATGTTGTTTTTTTAACGATAAACACAAAGTAATTTAATGTAACTTGCTAGATTTTTCGCACGCACACACACACACACACACACACACAAAGGTGCATGCAGTTAGAAGACTGAAGATTACCAAACAGCTCGTCTCTGGCTACCTCACCGCCCTTCTATCATGTTAAATAAGTAATCTTCCTCAATCCTGTTTTGATATTTCATGGCGGCTCTGAGCACACCTGTATAGACGATCCCCACAGCTGCCATGACTACAGCGCCTCACTTACACCACACCACAGGTCTACCACTATCAGCATTTATATGTAACGCCTCTAAGTATCTACAGTGTATACCATGCTTGCCGGTTTTCCACGATTAAAATAAAACTCGTAGATTACACTGTATAACTATGCATTAAAGGCCTAAACTATACAGATGAGAGGAATAATAACTTCACCTTGCCAACGTCACCACCTTAATGACTTCAGGTGACCAGGTGGTGTCATTGTGGTGGTGAGGGTCACTGTGTGGATGCTTGACCCAGGGAGGGGGGTGCGGTCATTCAAAGGATTGATCACAACAAAAGTATCCTAGAGTTACTCTGTTGTGTCCTGAGAAGTATTTTAGTTCGATCTGTTATTGCCTCGAAGCAAGACTCCAGACATTCCAAGCAGTATGTTGATGCAGTACTCATGATATAATAATTCACTCCTATTGACTAACACTTGCTCGGTAGTTTGTGGAAAAGGTTTAATTCAAATTAGTTCACACCAATTTATCACTTCCCCTGAGGGTATAATCCATTACCCAATTATAAATCCAGGCTGGGAACTTGTCAGGTTTATGAGAACTTGTACCCAAGACAACTCGTACCCACCTGAGACAACCTGTACCCACTTTGAAGAATTTTTTTACCCAAACGATAGATTCCTATAAATTTACACTATTAATATATATATAAATCAAATTAATATATCAAGGAGTTCTTAATGAATTGTATTTAACTTAAAATAAAGACGGGAAATAATTTAGGGATTATAGTTTATAGTTGGAGGTAACAGGAGGAGGAACTCTTGTTTAGATACAATATATACAGTGCAGGTATAAATCATTACTGTACAAGTGATTCTGAATAGACAACCCCAACCTGAGTTCGGCTCTGATTTCACCCTCAGGTCCGGCTATTAATGGTAATCTGAATGTTAACTTGAACCAGACAGGAAATATCAGCATTCATAGCTTGAGGAGGACCGCTTACTTAACAACACAATATCATAGCGGTGAGGCAGACCTGAACTTGACCACAGAAATATAAGCTTAGGAGAAATATAAACAAATCTGAATTTACTGAAAACAACAATAAAGAGGAGAGACATAACAACTTCACCATCACTGCTCGCTAATGACTTAAGGTGACAAGTGCTAATCACCTTGTTTGTCTGCACCTGCGGAGCCAATAACAGCTGCTTCATGTAATGTGACCTCATAAATATGTCTGTGCATATGTGAATAGCCAATCACTGGAGCTGTTGGTGTCGTGACGTCTTAGACATTATTGATATCAGAAACAGTACTGTAAACACCTGGGGAGCCAATCATAAGAGGTCTAGGAGTTGTGACGTCATAAATTTTAATATAAACACCTGGTTTGCCACTCATAAGAGCTCTAGGAGTTGTGACGTCATAATATTTACTGTAAACACCTGGGAGCCAACCATAAGAGCTCTAGGTATTGTAACGTCATAAACAGCACTGTAAATACCTGGAGAGCCAATCACAAGACACCTAGATGATGTGATGTCATAAACACACTTGTGCACACCTGCAAACCCATTCACAAGATTCATGAGAAAGACAGATGTTGTGACGTCATCGGGCGTTGATTACACCTGACATGTAAAATTTTGTGAGCCAATATGACACCTGTTCAAACTACACCTGCACAGTAACCAATAGAAACGGAGAACATGTGTACAAACTCAGAATAAAATTATGATGACACACACCGAGTGAGACACCTGTGAGGGTACAGGTGTGGCCAACTTCACCTACGTACAGTACATCTCTCTCTCCTCTTTCGTTATCATTAATTTTTTGTTTTATTATTTATACATCACTTTAAATCTCTCTACAAATAACACCTTTCACCCACCTGTCATGTGTGAGGTACAGGTGTGCTGAGGTGTGACGTCACGTAACGAGTAAATATCCAACCTTCGACAAACTCGCTCACCTGGAAGTGATTTAAACCTTAATGTCACGTTGGATGGTTCACACTCTAACGAGGCAATTGGGTAATTACCATCACTTCTCACGGGAATAACGAAGTTTTCACGTTTTCTTATTCTTCAATAATAATAATGTACAGGGTGGTGCAGAAGTCGCTTTACCAGAATACAAACAAGACGAGAGTTCTCAGTAAAACGACTTATGCGTCACCCTGTATTATCTTTTTAATTTGATTATTTACAAAAAATGACACAAGCACCAATATGTAATCTGCCAACACACACTTTGGTCAATATACACAAACAACACCGCCATTATTATTAAGGTTATGGATAAATATATGAATCCAGTATATTATTGTCTCTCTGACCTGTACCATTATTAGACCTCGGTACAGTACCAGTTATATACTAGTCAGTCAGTCAGTCAGTGTACCAGGTTATCCCATACACCAGCTTGTTTACTTGTAGTTCTCTCCCCTGAAAAACGTTGCTGTTACTTCAATGTGTTTAGGGTCTTTAAGCATCGTTCACTCGGTCTTATTTTTCTTATATTAGACAAATTTCAAGAGCTTCAAAGACCACGCTAATAACACTCAATAATACACAGGGTCTTGGCGCATAATACAATACGTCTTAACTACACCACATAACACATTAAAAAAAAAATATTATTCCTCTTAAAAATATACTTCCTGTTGCTACTGGTCTCTCTCTCTCTCTCTCTCTCTCTCTCTCTCATGTTCAGGCTTAAGAAGATACAGCAAAAACCTCTATTTAGCGGACTTATATGAAGAGGAAAGTCCACTATATCAAGGATCCATTAGATGTTCAACACCCATTTAACGGATTATATGGAGAGAAATGTCCGTTATATAGAGGTTTTTTTCACTTGTATATCAAAGAAAATACTAAATCTCACACCACCACAGTTGTTAATATTAATACCTCCTACCCCAGCACACTCACAACCACAGTCATAACCACAAGATAATATAACCGGAAGCTGCCATAACCACACTCTTGCTCTCTGATGATTACAACAACCACAATATTCACATGACAAGATGGCGAGATTATTGTTATTAATTTTATGTGGTTGCAATGACCATAAAACACATTGGTAGTTCTGTGATTGGTTAAATAATTGATATAACCTTAGGGATTAAATACTGCAGTTCCAGTGATTGTAAATTTTAGACATACAGTTATTGCAATTACGTTATTATACTGTAATAGCCACTGGGCATGAATTTTAGATACAATAATTTATGTTTACGTTAATTACAACAACATAACTGTAATAAACAACCGCATTAACCATTGAGTAAAATACTTCAGCACCCGTAATTATAATAACAATAAGATAATTACAATAACATGACAAAAAACAAAGTGATTTACCCAACAGATGAAACAATTACATAATAAGTCAAGGATTTGTAATAACAGAGTGGGCTAATTACCTGTAAACTCGCCCTAATATATTCAGATCAAGGCGCCGTGTTCATAATATATCCAGCTGACGCGAGATCACGAGGAAAACAAAAGAGAACTATAGTCATGGTGTTACATATTATTATTATTCAGTACATAAACATATACTGTATCCTGTATTCTTAACACTAATATAAAAATTTATGTCACGTTGATAAATGAGCTGTGTTGGTATATGAAAGTCCTTTAGGAATAGTCTGGAGACACTACACGGTATAGGAAGCCTTCAGTGTACTTAAAACGCAATATGAACATGCACTGCAATCGACTACCTTCACTTCCCCCCCCATTTATAGTTGATTGGACTAGGAGTGCCCTGGGATCAAACCAACGACCCTTAGGACGGGAGGTGAGTACTATATCCACTCGGCCACACCCTCTTCCCCCACATCATTAATACACCATCAATATCCTATTATTCTGTAAACTTTCACGGGTAAATGGGTATAATTTCTTGGTTATATCCGACGTTATTCGATCGTTCTTACTGGTGTGTACATACAGTGGGTACACAGGGAGGAGATATGAGAGTAACGTTAATGGGATCGGACTCACCTCTCCCCGCGTGTGGCGCCACTACACTTGTCCACACTGGTAAAAGAAGGCATTCAGCTCCAATATTCACCGTCAATAACAAAGCCACTCAGTGAAGCCTCCCACACGCCACTCAGTGAAGCCCCTAGCACGCCACTCACTGAAGCCTCCCACACGCCACTCAGTGAAGCCCCTAGCACGCCACTCACTGAAGCCTCCCACACGCCACTCACTGAAGCCTCCCACACGCTACTGCTCCCACTTGCCCAATACTTAAACTGAAGTAATTTTTAGGAGGGAACATATTACAACAAAGCAAGACAGAAATAGCAATACTGTGCAGCTTGGAGTGTAGCGGTGGGGGGTGATACGTAAGAGGTGGTGTTAAACGATTGACTGTGACACTGAAATACAAACGACGGCTTCTAAGCTGAGAGGATGATCACGTGGCACCCGAGTTGTTTTATATTCGATGCTTCACCTGTATATAGTCTTCATATTGTGATGTGTGAGCGTGTATGTAAATAAAGATAAATTAAATATATACAGTATACTAACTGTATAGAATATATTTCGTTTGGCAAGAGTAAGGGCTAGACACGCGGCCCCCTACAGGCTCGGGACCATAAAAACACCCAGATAAATAGAAATTTATATTTTTAAATAAATTCAACATCGCCACAAGTTATAAAAAAAAATGGTGTCGTTATTTACACGCTGAAAAAGTATATATACGAATATATAAAAAAATAAAGATTTTTTTATGTATTGCTGCCCATAAGACTTTAAACTTGATGTAGCCTTTGGGCCTCGTAGACGATTACGTACACGTACACACACACACACACACACACACACACACGCACACACACACACACACATGGGAAAATCTTAACTCTGATTACAATCCCACATTAATGGTGTAATAAAATACATATCAATTCCCTGTGGTAATTACTTAAGTTTTGCTGCACCCAGCCCTCTCCCTCCCCCTGGCCCCATGTATCTTTCCTTCCCTCCTTTAACCCTTCCCTTTCCTTCCCCCATTCCCCCTACACATCCCTACCCTTCCCCTACCCTGTACATCTCTACCCCTTCTCTCCCCAACACATCCCCACCCCCCCACTCTCCACACTCCTTCACGTACCCCCATCTCCTCCCACATCACCCACCCCTCCACCCCCACCTCCCCCACCCCCTCACCCCACCTCCCCACCTGAACTATACACTTAATTGCATCTCGAGGTAATACCAGGCCAGATTTATCGGCGGCGACTGTAATAAATTTCAAACTGGTATCTTCCCCCTCCTCCCCCTTCCCCTTCCTCCCCCACCTTCCTTCCTCCCTTCCTCATCTCCCCCCACCCTCCCCTTTTTGAGTCTGGTTGATGCACTAGGCGGGGTTAAAAAATGGAGTCAAAATTCCACCAAGACTTGAACGTATCTTGAAGCCTTCCATCGATAGGTTACAGCTGAATGAAAGGAAGGAAGGAAGGAAGGAAGAAGGAAGGAAGGAAGGAAGGAAGGATAAAGAAGGAAGGAAGGAAGGAAGGAAGGAAGAAGGAAGGAAGGAAGGAAGGAAGGAAGGAAGGAAAAGAAAGGAAGGAAAGGAAGAAGGAAGGAAGGAAGGAAGGAAGGAAGGAAGGAAGGAAGGAAATAAATAAATAAATATATAAATAAGAAATTGATCGGGCGGGTATAAGACAAATATGCTAACGGATGAATGAACAAACAAACAGACGGGTGGAGATAAACAGACAGACAGACAGACAGACAGACAGACAGACAGACAGACAGACAGACAGACAGACAGACAGACACGACCGAACGAGCCGAGGAATAAAAAGACATGAATGAACTGATGGAGAACAGACAGACAGACAGACGGAACGAAAAACGAAGCCAAAAAAAAAAACTTCCACGAGTTTCTTTGACAGAGAGAGAGAGAGAGAGAGAGAGAGAGAGAGAGAGAGCATCACCAATACAAAATAATGAAAATAATCACAATAAATAAAATAAATACATTGCGTCATTATAAGTACAGCTCATTACGTCATTGTAAATAAATTGCGTCATGGTAAGTATATTGCATTAGTGTTAATAAATTACATTAGAATCTTATCATTATAAATCCATTATACTATTAAATTAAATTACATCATTACAAATATATAACACCATTAAAATTTTTTGGCGCCATTATAAATATAGTGCTTCGTTGCGTCTTATATAAAATTAATAGGAAAATTAATGGTGGCGGTAATGAGACTGAAATGAACTAGAGAGAGAGAGAGAGAGATAGATTTTGTCTTTCTCAATTCTTAACAGCGAAGCCTCACTCTGAGATGATTTTGATGATGATGATAACGATAATGCAGAACGATGATGATTGATGATGATGATGATGATGGGGATAAATGATGAACGATGATGATAATGGTGAGATGCTTATTATTAGTGATGATACAAATTGATGATAATGATGTTGATGATAATATTGATGATGATTGGTGATAATGATGAAGAATGATGATGAAAAATTATGATAATGATGATAAAGAATGATGATAATGATGATAATGATGATGATTAATGATAATGATGAAGAATGATGATATTGATGAAGAATGATGATAATGATGACACAGATTGATGATAATGATAATGATTGATAATAATGATGAAGAATAATGATGATAATGAGAACGAATCATGATGACAATTTACACATAAGACGCCGCAGCATCAATGAAAGAGACACTGTGTAGTAAAGAGAGAGATAATTCAAAATAAATGATAAATTAATAATAAAAACACACAAGAATGGCGGGAAGTAAGAAGGACTCGGATAACAAGACCTTGATGGTCGTTCCCGTTTCCTAAGACAATTAAGTGGGTCGTTACAGATATTTAAGAAAATTGCGTAGTGTTTTTTTTCCAGATATCAAGTAAATTACATAGGCATTTTTTCCTA